GGGGTATGTGAAAAAAGACAAATTCTTAATACAAGAGATTGTAAATGGCTAATAAAGTGATCTTATTCAGCAGAAAGAAAGGACACTTAATCACTGTGCAGTGTTTTTCCTGTAAGGACTGTGCTCCTGTCTGGACATTCATTCCCCATGTCCTGCATCACAGCCAACAGGCCCGATAATCAACAGGAGATTCGAGATGAAATCTCTCACACTCCATTTTGTTGAGTCACTTGTATTTACCCTTTTCATGATCTCAGTTTTCCTTGTTACACACGACTAACAATAAAAAATAATAATAATGATAATTCATTTTATACATAGTCCAAACCCAAGGATGCTGTACATGGTGGTAAAGGCGAAAGTTTTTAAAAAGTCAGGAAGATGAAACAAGAACATACAGAATCAAATGGAAGGCAATCACACATGGGCTCTAGTGAAAGGGTGAGTTTTAAGTTGAGATTTGAAACAAGTCAAAACAATTTGTTGCTCAAAGACTCGGAGGAAAGGCATTCAATAACAATGGATCGATAACAGAATAAGCACGATCACCAAGAGCTCTAGATTTAATCCTAGATAAAGAGTGCAAAAGATCAGCCTCATATGAACGGTATCTACAGGAGGGGGTGTACACATGGAGGAGTTCAGCACCTAATGGAGCTGGATTATTTACAGGCTTAAAAGTCAGGATCAAGATTATATATTAAATGCATGACTTTATAGGCAACCCAATGTAGAGCTGTAAGTGGAGGGGTGATTTGCTACCAGGGCCTGATGTGTGTTAGACATCTAGCTACAGAACTTTGGACGTATTGTAACGTACTGAGAAGAGTGATAGGGAGCCCATGGATTAAAGAGCTGCAGAAATCAAGCCTTGATGTTATGAATGCATGAATCAAGCACTCAGCATCGAACATTGATAGTAACTGCCTAACGTGGGCAATGTGTCTGAGGCAAAAAAAGGATTTAAATCACTTTTTTCACTTGGGGCTCAAGGCACAGGAGAGGATCAAGTGTGACTCCCCGATTCCCGACTACAGCTGACGCCTTTTCCATTCATGCCCTGGTAGAGTGACATCAGTTCTTTTCTGAAGTGAAGAGGCTATTGTATTCATATAAATAGTATTCATACTGTGTCCACACGCAATATCATGAACTGTGATGAAATGACAGTAACTAGGAAAAAAACAGCCATTAGCAGTCTAAAAATCACATCGTTTCATAGCTGAGCAGCTCTTTAGATTTAGTGTCGTAATTGTTTATTAAGAATGTAAGAAAGGTTGTTTCTCGAAGGATGTCAGGATATCAGCTTCAGCCCTGCTCCAGTAGAAAACTATTTCTGTAACTACTGTTCTTTTAACTCCATGTCAGTTCAGGCAAATTGGCTCAAAACAAGGTCAAAAACAGTGAGGAGGCAGCGTCAAATGTTGTCTTGTGTGGAAGATCTTAAGGAGCAGGATAACGGTGCTAATGCATGGTGTGCCAGCCATATCTATTCCTTGAGTGCCCAAGAATAAAAACACAAGCAAAGTCAATTTTGCAGAGCGTTAGGTCTGTTCCTTTTGGGTGAATAGAATTTCCCCAAAAAACAAATAGGAAGCCTTAAAGGAAGCCAGATCACCAGCTTCCACAACATGGCCAGGTGACTTGTTCCATGCTCACACAACTCTTTATGTAAGGAAAAGCCTCCCTTTAGGAAGCACTTGTTTCATGTCACAGAGTTGATTCCTAGGAAGTCCATGGAGGTGTGGAGGATTTTGAATACTTGAGGCCTTCTCTGTTCAAAACTAAAGAGGCTCAGTCCTCTTACCCTATCAGTGCAGGATATTCCTTTCAGCCACTCACTATTTTTCTCTGGTTTCATTCCAGAGCAGCAAATATTTTTCTTAAGGAGGCGACCAAACTAAAATCATATTTAATATAATTTTCTAAATATTGTTTTCTAAATTATTGTTTTATATTGACTAGAGGGTCATACAAGTTTAACATCAGTGTCAAACGTCACCAGTCATGTGGAGTTTAATTCCTTTGGTACACCTGTCCAGCTTAAGGATTCATCCCTCATCTGTACTCTGGGTTTACTGTCCTTCAACCAGCTCTCAAACCAGATAGATACGTTACCCAGGATGCTCTTTGCCTGCAGCTTAAGAATTCATCTTGTATGCTGAACATTATTAAAGCCTTCTGAAAATCTAATTGTACCACATCATATGTTCCTTTGGAACCCATTACTGCTGTAGCTTTTTTTCAAAGAACGCTTTCAATTTAATTAAGTCCTGCCTTTTCTAACTTTTAACTAAATTGACTATCTTCTAGAATCCTATTGCCATGAGACCACAGATGATCCTCTAATTTAGTTCTAAAGACTGTCACAGGTCTCAATAACTTTACAAGTAATAGAAACAAGACCTGAAACAATCCTGTTGGTCTATAATTACAATCCTTGGTTCAATTTTGTCCTATTAATGGAAGGGTGATCCAGGTCAATATGTACCCCTGTCCTGAGTGACTGTTGACAAATCCTTTTATTTGTGTTTTTATTGCATTTTTGGTTTTATTGCAAAAATGTATTCCCAGCCCTTGGGGCTTTGAGACTTTGATCTTCTCAGATTATAAAATTATATGTTTGTTCCTTACACTGTACATCTCAATTAAAACAACAACAGTAATGTTGGAGGAAGACCTCAAAAAGCAAATACATGTTTCTGTTTTCAAATACAGTTACATTTGGCATAAGAGGAAATCCTATACATAAATAATACAAAACATAATTACATTCTCAAATAAAGGACCAGATACAATGAGTTGTTACAGTAACACATTTTAGGCCCCAGGTGTTCAAGAAGGGTTTAGTAAAACCTTTCATATTGATTGATTACTTTGATGCACTTACAGTATATAGTGCTTTTCACCCAAAGCATTTGTGTATGTTTAATAACATAATGAAATATTATTAAATACTATTCAAATAAGAAAATATTCCAGTATGATTCTAAGACAGTTTAGTCTACCAATATATTCTTGTGCCCTGCTGTTTGTAGCATTTGCTATTTTCATTCATGTTAGCTTTAAAACGTTTTATAGTTACCCACACTTCCACATGTATTTAATTCCATAGCGTCAGTACTTGAGTTCTATAGCCTGTTTACAATTGTGTTTAATTCTATCTTTAAGTATAATGTTTAATCTCCCACATTGTCAACGATTTCAAATCTTCAAAAAAAAATCGTTGATCTAAATATTTTAACACGTGATTTGGTCTTACAGGTGCTTTCACAAAGTCAGTCTGCTGTTTTTTGTTTCACTTTCTTTTTACTTCTGATGTATGCTGCTTGTGCTGTTGTATAGCACACTTAGAATGCCTCTTGCAAAGCACTTGTAAGAGAAATTGTTAGTATTAAGATTTTCAGTAACTGAAGGATTAGAAGATTTGGTGTTTAGACTTTGAGTCAATTGCCTGTAGGAAGAAGCTGCAAGAAGCAATTCAAAGAAGGTGCAGAGGATCTTCAGGAAGGAACCATGAACTCAGATTCTGATCTGAAAACAAGCAGATCATATTACAAACATGCACATTTTGATAGTCATTCTATGTTCCCATAATGGCTACATATACTTTTATTTATATCGCAGCCATGTACAGGTGTGAAGAAGAAAGGATCTTTCTTTCTTGCACCTACAAATCCTAGACCAGGAACTGCAAAGTCCAGAAGTGTAATATCTTGGAAATTACCTGTCATTAATTTCAGCTTCTAGCCAGACCCAAAACAGTGGTTTAAGATGAGGTGACTCGAATGTCCTCCACATTATATAAAGGGATAAATGTAAATCATGTGAAGGATTCCTGAGCTTTTACAGTGACCCACCATTCGCAACATGACTTAGCATTTTGTGTCACATACTGTACCCATAGCATTGCTGCATTAAGTCCCTCCTGTATCAGACCTGAAATTCACACTCTGATGCAGTTGGTCTCTGTGTTGAGTGTGATAAATTGACTGTCTGAGCACAT